GGCAGACGAGACCTCAACAGTGACTAATCAAGTGGCACAATCAATCTTCGGAGTGACCACGATACACATGTGGAAGGAGTGGGGCGCGGCCTTACGGGATTGCTTCGTGCACGCATCCGCCTCGGAGCAAGCTCGCATGAAGCTGCGTGCATGGTCGCAGATGGCTTCTGTCCAAGACTACACGGCATCATTTATGGGCCTCGCCGACCAAGTTGATGACATGTTGAAAGCAGAGCGGTTGGATAAATATATCAGCGGCCTCAAATACGAGATACAGTACGAGGTTCGCAGGGGCCGCCCGACAAAATTCCTTGAAGCAGTACGGCTGGCGGAGTCAACAGATGTGCTGATGCAGTACGCGAGAGCAGCTTCGAGGGATGGAAACCGCTTTCGTGGCCAGACCCATCGGGCCACGATCAACGCCGTCCATACACCCGACCGCCCTCCTAAGGGACCGTGTTACCAGTGTGGGAAGACGGGTCACTACATGAAAGACTGCCACGAGAAAACGCCGCTGACGGGGAAAGACAAGAAGGAGCAGGGAAATGGGAAGAGTCAGTAATTAGCGGGCCCTTTACTGACTGTGCTCCGTCGCCCAAACCCCACCATCCCCACCGAGTCGTGGTTCCGATTCATGCAATCGATCGCACTCGGCCGAATAACGGGGATACACATGTGGATCACCCTGTGCTGGTCGCTGGCAAGGTGTTAAAAAATAACTTGGAAATGTTCGTCGGCGGAGGGGCCAGCCATAGCCTCTTCAACTTGGCGAGCGCAAAAAAATGCAAGCTGCAACTTGACAGGTGTCTGCCCGAAATTGACGCACGCCTCGTGGATGAACGGAAGAAACACGGACGGTTAGGATCGAGTGCGGCAACGATTTCGGCTTCAGCATGAAGTTCCTCGCGACAACACTGGACGGCTGCGACGTGCTGCTGGGACGTGATTGGCTGCGACGTTACAACCCCGTCATCGACTGGACAACGTGATCGTGCAGCATCAACAAGCACGAGGGGCTAATTAAACTGCCTGCATGGACACCTGACTACATCCAAGCCCCGTGCGTCAAAGCCATCACTATAGCTCGCCACTTCAACAGGGGCGCGCATCTGTTCGCTGTCTGCTTACGCGAGTTGGCGGTTGACACCGACGGAAAAGACATCGAGAAGCTGTGTGCAGCTGTACCACCGAATTTAGCGGAGCTGATTCGGAGGTACCCCGACATTTTCCCCGACGACCTGCCACCTGGACTGCCACCCGAGAGACCAGAGGACCACAAAATCCAGCTGGAACCTGGCGCGCAGCCGACTGTTCGGTCACAGTGGCGGTTGACCCAGCCGGAACTCGAGGAGCTGCGAAGTCAAATTGACGCACTGTTGGAGAAAGGGTTCATTCGAGCCAGCACATCTCCCTTCGCAGCACCGATCCTGTTCACTCCGAAGAAAGACGGCGGGCTTTGCATGTGCATCAACTATCGCGCGCTGAACCGGATCACCATCAAGTCTCGCTACCCAATCCCACGCACCGACGACCTCCTCGACCAACTTCGCGGCGCTCGCTATTTCTCGAAGATTGACTTACGTGGCGGTTACCACCAGTTTCGAGTCTTCGCCGACGACTGTCACCAGACTGCGTTTCGCACACGCTACGGGAGTTACGAATTTACAGTGATGCCTTTCGGCCTCATGAACGCGCCTTCGACATTTCAACTGACCATGAACAGGGTTTTTCGGGATCTTCTAGACCGATGTGTCATCGTCTACTTGGACGATATCCTGATTTTTAGCAAGACACGGGAGCAGCACCTCCGAGACCTGGATGCAGTGTTTAAGCAGCTGCAGGAGAACCGACTCATCACCAAGGGCTCTAAGTGCGAGTTTTTTAAGCAGGACTTGGAGTTTTTGGGGCTCGTCATCTCACCCGACGGCATTAAAATCGACCCGGCGAAAATCAAGACCATACAGGAGTGGAAGTCCCCGACAAACGTCACGGAACTTCAGAGTTTTCTCGGATTCGTGAATAACGTCAGGCGGTTTATCCCGAATATGGCGGGGATAACCGGCCCGCTGACCGACCTGCTGCACAAGGACAGGAACTTTGTGTGGGGGGAGGAGGCAGAAGCGGCTTTCCAGGAACTCAAGAGTTTTCTCGTTTCCCCTCCTATGCTGCGCATCGCCGACCCATCGAAGTCGTTCGAAGTCGTCACCGACGCCTCAGATTTCGCCATCGGAGCTGTGCTACTCCAAGATTTCGGGAACGGGTTGCAATCGATCGCCTACGAATCACGCAAGCTGCAGGCAGCCGAACGCAACTACCCGATCCACGACAAGGAGATGCTCGCCATAATACACGCGTTCAAACTGTGGCGCTGCTACTTGGTGGGCGCCGACGTCACTGTTCGCACGGACCACAAGTCCCTACAGTACCTGCGAGCCCAGCCCAACCTCAACCCGCGACAAATTCGGTGGCTGGATTACATGGAGAGCCACTTCACCTACCGCATCACGTACAAGAAAGGGGCGAATAACATCGCCGACGCCCTGACCCGACCGACAGTACAATCCGCTGCAGTACTCATCACCCAGTCGAACCCATTACTTACCGGACTATTTACCCACGGCTACACTACGGACCCGTTCTTCACGACGCAGAAAGGGAATTATTACCTAAAAGCCAGAACCGACCGGATTTGGGTTCCCGCTTACAGGCTGCTGCGTGAACTTCTCATCCAAGAGGTCCACGATTCTAACTTCTCCGGACACTTCGGGGTTGACAAAACCCAGAAATTACTGCACCGTCAATATTACTGGCCTGATTCCTCTAACGACGTGCAGCGATATGTGTCCTCATGCAGGGTGTGCCAAGCCATGAAATCGACACGTCAACGAACAGCTGGGCTGCTGCAACCCCTCGAGCCACCCGAACGACCGTGGCAGCAAGTGACAATGGATTTTGTCACGGGGATGCCAGCTGGACCGTCCGGCGACGACGCTGTACTCGTCGTCGTCGATCGCTTCACGAAGATGGCGCACTTTGCCCCATGCCGAACAACAATCACAGCCGAAGAAACTGCGCGCCTCTTCATCTCAACGGTCGTGCGACTGCACGGCATCCCTTCGGCGATCATCAGCGACCGAGACCCGAAGTTTACATCGAAATTCTGGAAAGAGACGTGGGCGGCACGAAACTACAGTTCTCATCGGCCTATCACCCACAGACGGACGGCCAGACCGAGCGGACCAATCAGACCATGGAGCAGCTGATCAGGACAAACTGCCCCGACCCTGCCCGCTGGGAAGACTCTCTCGCAATGTTGGAGTTCGCCTTCAACAACGCGCCGTCCAGCACGACTAATCACTCCCCGTTTTTCCTAAATTACGGGATGGACCCGACGGTTCCTACAGCGACTTCTCTCGACAACCCAGTCCCGCGGTCACAAACCTTTGTGACGGAACTTCAGGAAGCCCGAGAGAAAGCCGCCGATGCAATTCGCAAGGCGAATATAACTTCCCGCAAATACACCGACCTTCTACGCCGGGAACTCGTCTTGACCACTGGGCAACTAGTGCTACTTGACACGAAGAACCTGCACCTGCCCGGCCCGTCGAAACTACGGCCACGATTTTGTGGGCCATTCAAAATTATCAAGATGGTGACACCTGTCACCGCGAAGCTGCTGCTACCCGACGACTGGCGCATTCATGACGCCTTCCACGTCAGCCTGCTTCGAAAGTTCGTGCCAGCCACGACAGACATCGCGCGGCAACAAGCTGCACCAAATGCATGCCCTGTCCCGGAGCCGACTCTTGACCCTTCGAAGATTTTGGCACATCGGGTTCGACTCGACGCAGCTGGTCGCCACGTGGATTTCCTAGTCCGTTGGACTGACCGCATCCGTGAAGACGACACGTGGATGCACTCCGACTCGCTGTCTGCCTCGTCACTTGTTGGTGATTACGTGGTGCGCAGGCGTGTTTCGGATATTGACCGCCTTTCTTAAGGGCGGGGGGGGGTAGTGTAAGGAATTTTCCCGAATTCCTTATCGGGGTTGACTGCTTCGCGTACAGCCCGATTTTCGGACTTTGCACGTTCGGCCGATTTCAACGCTGCCGAGGCTCCTCGCGTCGCCTTCGGCATTTTCCCATCGCCAAACCTGCACCCAACCTCGCTCGTCCGAGGTTCCCGTCTAGCTAGGCTAGTCCCTGTTGGGCTGAGGAAAGCCCTTAGGATCTTTGCAAGGCTAAACTCTGAGTAGGGCTTTGTTGTAAATGCGGAAGCGTTTAATGAAGTAGTTGAACCACCTTGCGCTGGTATGTGAGGGCAAAGTAGATTGATTAAAGTAAAGAGATACAAGCTTATATAAGAGTACAAGGAATATGAAGAGATACAGTTAACGAATGCTTTCCTGTTTGCTGTTGCGGTTCGATACAGTGACGACTCGGGCAACTGCTCAGTAGAGAGTCAGTTGTTTGTCCTTGCTGTCGTGCTGTATTTTTTAGGTCAAAGGTCGCTGACCTTTGACTTTCTCGTAACCTCCGGCAGTTACTCAACCTCTGAAGTTTGACTCGCTGATGCTTCGCTATGCTTTGCTTTGCTTGTGACTTAGTGATTCGACACGACAGAGGCGCTTAAGTCACTTGTTTCCAACAGTCCCTACATTAGTCTGTGCCTTCATTGTATTCTCAGATCAGTTAATCACAGTCTCGTTATTCGTTTACCTGCGCACTCTCTTTTACAACTCATAACAATCACAGGTAAGGGAAAACATTCTACATAATATTGTAACTTGGTCGTTCTACATTTTCCCTTCGGATGCATCAAATGCGACCAGTATCAAGTAGTTGAATCCAGTTCCCGATTCCAGAACGGCCACCCCTACGACTGCCTTTTACGCGTTAGTTTATTCGTTGCCAGTCCCCCCTTCCTCGCTACAGTCACCCAGGCGAGACGCGTTTCCGTACGTCCACGTGTGCAGCATGAGTTGTCAATGAGGAGCCGCGATGATTCACCAAGCGCACCAGCCATGGGTCGCCATCTCCGCTAAGCGCCCGGGCCTCTGGCGCCCCGCGGAGGCAGCCATGCCGTCCGCCAAGGCGGCCAGCCCCGGCGCCAAGCCGCTATCGCGCGGGCGTTGGCGGTCGGCGGGCGAGCGGTGGACGTGCGGCGCGATGGCGGCGGCGCAGATGGGCGTCGCGCTGCTGCTGTTGGCGGTCGCCGCCACCTCGCTGCTCCTCCTCGGCTGCATCCGCCTCCCCAACCGCCAGGTGCCCCGCGCTCTCCCCTTTCTCCCCTCCCCTCCCCCTTTCTCCCCTCCCCTCCCCCTCTCTTCCACCCTCCCTTCCCCTTTGTCTCCCCCCACTCTCCCCCTCTCCCTCTCCCCGGCCCCCCTCCTCCAATGTGTGCTCCGCACGTTGATCGTCTCTCCTCCCCTACCTCCCCTTTTTTCCCTCACGATTCCGCGCTTCTGCATTTCACCAGCAACACCACGCTGCCTCTGACCCAACCCTCCCGCTTCCCCCCCCCCCCCCCCCCTGCTTCTCTTCCCCCCACCCGCCTTGTTCCCCTTCCCCCCGCCTGCCATAACTGTCAATCCTCTCGCACACCTCAACTATCCACCCCATCCCGCCGCCACCCGTCCTTCCCGCCCCCATGCGCCCCCCCCCCCCTCTCATCCGCCCCCATGCGCCGTGCGCGCACACCCATCCACGGGGGGCCGTGTGAGAGCGGCAGGCGGGGTGGAGCGTGGAGCTGCCGCACGAGCCACACGACCCCAGCGCCAACTGCTCCTCCGCCAACCCCACCGTCACAGTCAAGGCAACGCCCCTTCCCCCCCGCCGCGCTTGCCTCGTGCCCTTGCACTCTCCCTCACCTGCACTCTCACCTCTTCCCCGTCAAATTTGATCCAGGGTGATGAGCAGTATTTCACCGTCGTTGTCAACGCAAGCCCCCGCTCTCGTCCCTACCACTCACTCTCTCGTCCTTACTCTCGTCACCATGATGCGTTCTCTCCGTCACTGCCCAATTCCCCTCTCGCTCGCCCCATGTTCCCCTCACTGCCATAACCCCGTGTTCCCGCAATAACACAGCGACCTCAAATCAAACCACCCGCAGACGCCTGTTTCAACTTCCGCCCCACCCATTCCTTCCCTCTCTTCCCTCCCCCTCTATGCAGACGAATCTATGGTACTCAGACCGCCCCTTCCACCTCCCTCCAGTCTTCCCCCTGTGCACCATGGACGCCTGCTTCAACTTCCCCCGCTGCCCCTCCCCACCCGCCCACGAGCCCCTCGTGTACTCCTACTGGCCCGCCACCAGCTCAGTGCTCATAAGGTGCCATGTGCTTATCAGGTCAGAACCACGTGCTCATCAGGTGACTTGCTTATAATGTGACAGGCACTGTGTGCTGATGGAGTGACATGTGCTCGTAAGGTGGTTTGCATATAACGGAAGCCATCATGTGCTAGTAAGGTGACAGCCATGTGCTTATAAGGCGATGTTAACTTCAGGTATGTCCATAGGTGCCATTGCCAAACACAAGCCTATACGCAAAGGGAGATCTCCATTCGTCCGGCCCTGCTTCACCACGCTGCTTCCATCTTCCACTCACTCCACCACTGCCCCACTCCCCTCCTCTGATACCTCACCACCTCAGCCCTCGCCCTTCACATCTCCCTCCTCCCCTCCCCTCCCCTGCACCCCCCCCCCTCAAACAGCTTCTCGGACAACTGGAGCGGCCCACCAGCGTGGAGTGTGGGCAAGGCGGCGCTCATGCTCACAGCGGCGCACCTCACAGTGCACCGCGCGCTCTTTGACGTCTCCCTGCCGCTGCCGCCCACCTGGAAGCGCCACGCTGCCGCCATGCGGGCGGTGGCGGTGGGTGAGAGGCGGTACCTGCTGACGTTCATGGGCACGCGCTACCTGGGCTCCATGCACGGCAGCTTCAGCAGCTCCAAAGAGTTCAAGGCGCTGCACAACGGCAAGGACATCATTGTTGTCACTCAGTGCGGGTGAGTGGAGGAGCAGAGCGTGTGAATCAATCCATGGGCAGTGAGGAGTGTGGGAGAGTGGCGACCACAGCTGATCCACCAACCAGGTCTCACAGTTTCTCTCGTGCCCACTGCCATCCACATCTATCCCGCGCCACTCCTCACCCTCATTGCTGCTGCCCTCCCAACTCATTCTAAACTCATCCCTCTCTTCGACCCCCTCCCATGGAGCAGAGTGTCGAACCACGCTGTAGCCAGCAAACTGCAAATCACTAACCCCCACCTTTCTCAACAGAGGGTCCACGAATCGGAGGATAATCTCGGAGGACCCGTCTTTGCTGCCCGAGTGCAACGCGGACGCGGCGCTCTTCCGCTCCTTCTCCTACCCCGCCCTCATGAACTCCTCCTTTGCTCTCGTCCCCGCCGGCCGCCAGGCCTCCACCTATCGATTCATCGAGGAGGGTGGGTGGGTGGGTGCAGGCATGAGCTAAATGCGGGCTCGAAGTGGTATGATTCCGCACCGTTTTGAGCACTTGCAATGGCCGAAGCGAAGCTGTTGCGCCCTCATGAACTCCTCTTTCGCCCTCGTCCCCGCCGGCTTCCACCACTCCACCTACCGCTTATCGAGGTGGCTCAAGAATGGGGGGCTGGGTTGCTGGATCGTACACACGTCCACGTACTAATTCGCATGAGGCTCATGAGAGAGAGTGTATTCAGGGTCTCGGAGGAGGTGGGATGGGAGCTAACTAGAGAGAGTGGGCAGGGCAAACAGCACTACTCGCACTGCACCTCCCATCACCGTTGCCATGGCTGCCTTCCCAATTGCAACCAGCACTGCTACATTCGTCCATGCTTCTCCTCTCCTTACCACCCTTTCCCCCTTCCTCCAACCTGCATGCCCCCTTCTGCCTCCCTTCTCTCCATTCCCCCTCCTTTCTGCCTCCCGCCTCCCTCACCACTCCCCCAGCCCCTCCCCGACCAACCAGGCGCTGACAGCTGGCGCGATACCAGTGGTGGTGGCGGACAACTAGAAGCTGCCGTTTGACGACATCATCCCATGGCACCGCTGCTTGCTCATCTTCCCCACCCACCTGCTCTCCTGCATCGAACCCAGCATATGCGCCATCACCCCGGTATGGTAGTAGTGCAGGCCCCCACCATCCCATGGCACCGCTGCCATGCATCACACCATGCCATGCATCACACCATGCCATGCATCACACCATGCCATGCATCACACCATGCCATGCATCACACCATGCCATGCATCACATCATGCCATGCATCACACCATGCCATGCATCACACCATGCCATGCATCACACCATGCCATGCATCACACCATGCCATGCATCACACCATGCCATGCATCACACCATGCCATGCATCACACCATGCCATGCATCACACCATGCCATGCATCACACCATGCCATGCATCACACCATGCCATGCATCACACCATGCCATGCGTCACACCATGCCATGCGTCACACCATGCCATGCGTCACACCATGCCATGCGTCACACCATGCCATGCGTCACACCATGCCATGCGTCACACCATGCCATGCGTCACACCATGCCATGCGTCACACCATGCCATGCGTCACACCATGCCATGCATCACACCATGCCATGCATCACACCATGCCATGCATCACACCATGCCATGCATCACACCATGCCATGCAGCACACCATGCCATGCAGCACACCATGCCATGCAGCACACCATGCCATGCAGCACACCATGCCATGCATCACACCATGCCATGCATCACACCATGCCATGCATCACACCATGCCATGCATCACACCATGCCATGCATCCCACCATGCCATGCATCACACCATGCCATGCATCACACCATGCCATGCGTCACACCATGCCATGCGTCACACCATGCCATGCGTCACACCATGCCATGCGTCACACCATGCCATGCGTCACACCATGCCATGCGTCACACCATGCCATGCGTCACACCATGCCATGCGTCACACCATGCCATGCGTCACACCATGCCATGCGTCACACCATGCCATGCGTCACACCATGCCATGCGTCACACCATGCCATGCGTCACACCATGCCATGCGTCACATCATGCCATGCGTCACACCATGCCATGCCTCACACCAAGCCATGCATCACACCATGCCATGCATCACACCATGCCATGCAGCACACCATGCCATGCATCCCACCATGCCATGCATCACACCATGCCATGCAGCACACCAAGCCATGCATCACACCATGCCATGCATCACACCATGCCATGCATCACACCATGCCATGCATCACACCATGCCATGCATCACACCATGCCATGCATCACACAATACCATGCATCACACCATGCCATGCATCACACCATGCCATGCATCACACCATGCCATGCATCACACCATGCCATGCATCCCACCATGCCATGCATCACACCATGCCATGCAGCACACCATGCCATGCATCACACCATGCCATGCAGCACACCATGCCATGCATCACACCATGCCATGCAGCACACCATGCCATGCATCACACCATGCCATGCAGCACACCATGCCATGCATCACACCATGCCATGCAGCACACCATGCCATGCAGCACACCATGCCATGCATCACACCATGCCATGCATCACACCCTGCCATGCAGCACACCATGCCATGCAGCACACCATGCCATGCAGCACACCATGCCATGCATCACACCATGCCATGCATCACACCATGCCATGCATCACACCCTGCCATGCAGCACACCATGCCATGCAGCACACCGTGCCATGCATCACACCCTGCCATGCAGCACACCATGCCATGCAGCACACCATGCCATGCAGCACACCATGCCATGCAGCACACCCATCTCTCGTCCCTCTCATCTCACCCCCCTCATCTTTTTCATCGCTCTCACCCCCTTCATCCCCCAATTCCCGCTCACCCCCCTCTTCCCGCTCACCTCCCTCTTCCCGCTCACCTCCCTCTTCCCGCTCACCCCCCTCTTCCCGCTCACCCCCCTCAACCCACGTGCAGCAAGCGGCGGAGAAGCGGCGGCAGCGGTGTGTGTCCATCGTTGAGGAGTGTTTAGCATCAGATGACATTCTCATGCGCTCTGCCATGACTGCTCTTAAAGCTGCGGTCTACATACCTCAAGCGGGAGGCAAAGGTTTATCACTTGAAAACAGGGTAACACTGTCCCCAAAAGTACCCCTTTGCGGAGAAACGAACCCCGCTGTCTGCCTGTGCTTGGAACCATCCCTGCTTGTGCATATGATCACCACTACTACGGTAATATAATTTACAACGCATATGTCATACGGTATATCTCTTTTATGGTGACGTATAATTTCTTTACAATAGCAAGCTAAAGAGATGCTCCTTCCCTGCCCATACAGCCGCATAGTACAGTAGTCGGGCCAAATTCTTGCTTCATCTAGCAGAAAAAATGTACCCTATGTTCGTTCCAAGGTGGAAATACGAATGAAAGTACCAAATTGCTTTGTCAAAAGTTAGGCATAGAAGACAGCAAATGAAAGATGACCTCCAAAGTGACCTCCCTGGTGTCAGAGTGAAACAATATGATTAAAAGAAGAGGAGGTAAGAATCAACAACAATGTCAGCATTGCTGCGGCTGATGTCTTGCTCGTGCTATTGATGCTGCTGCTTCTCCCAACAATGCAGCACTTGCAGCCTTCTCAAAATGTGATGTTGCACCCACCTCACCACACCAACAGCATCACCACCAGCACCACTACCAAACGCAGTACCGGATCCTGCTTCTACTCTCTTCTCCTCTCTTTCTCCATCGTCCCCTTCCCCTCTAACCCCACCAATCCCCCCAACACTATCCCTGTCCCTCGCCCCTACCTTCCGCAACCGCCCCACCAATTTCTTCTCCCCATCCCCTCTCCCTTTCACCGGTCTGCTCCTCCTGCCAAACTCTCTCGTTCCGAATCGAGCCGCCTGCACTCACTCCACTCTGCTCCTCCTCCCACACTCTCTCGTTCGAGATTGGCCCGCCTGAACCTCCATCCGGACCGAACGCCCAGCCCGGGTCTGCGCCGAACCTCATGTTTGTGGGAAGGAGATTCTCAGCAAGATTCCTCCTGCTTCCAGCATAGTTGCAGACTAACCACCTAAGAGCCTGGAGAGGGATGGAGAACAAGGGAGGGAAGGGGGGAGAACAGAATGAAGAGGTGGGTGGCCCTCTGCTCTGCATCCCCATTGCCTGCCTGCTGCCAGCAGGCCGCCTGCCTGCTCCAATAGTTGCTCAGTAGCCACCCCAGAGCCTGGGGTGGAATGGAGAACAAGGGAAGAGGGTAGGGAGAAGGGTAGAACGATAAAGATAGGTGCGCTTAGTGCTCGTTGCCTGTTGCTAGCATAGCTGCCTGCCTGCTCCAGTTGTTGCTAACTAGCCAGGCCAGGGCCTGGGGTGAAGAGAGGGGGAAGGAGAAGAGGGAGAATGAGAAAGAGAGAGGTGTGCGTGCTAGCATTGCTTGTCCCAGGCTGTAAAAATATATTACATTAATGAAAGGACCATTCGAGAAAGGTGTGCTGTTCTTCCCCTCCTTGCTCGTTGCCTGCTGCTAGCATAACCGCCTGCCTGCTCCAGTTGTTGCTTTCACCCAGCCCATGGCCTGGAGTTGAGTGGAAATAATCTGTTGACAACATTCAAAATTGCAAAGTGTTCTTGAGAATCCTCAAAATTGCAGAGTGTTTTTTGGAATTCTCAAAGATTTTAAAATGCTATCGAAAACACTCTCCAATTTATTGAGAATATTAAAACAACTGTAGTTGCTGATCAGCCAGCCCAAGGCCTGGAGTTAAGTGGAGAGAGGAGGAGGATGAAGAAAGACAGGGGAAGAATGAGGGGGATAGGTTTGTCACCAACCACCCCAGCGCCTGGAACGGAATGGAGAACATAGGTAGAGGATTTTTCCAGGACTATCAAAAATCGCCTGCAGTAAAAAAAGAGAGAAAAAGAAAAACGCCTGCAACAACGAGGTTTGTCACCAACCACATCAGAGCCTGGAACGGAATGGAGAACAAGGGAAGCGGAAGGCAAGAGTGACCCTCCCTCTGTTCTCATCCTTTCGTCACAGCAACTTCCCCCCACCAGCCACTTCGCTCTAACGCTCTCGGTATCTCTATCCCTCAAGTTGCAGTCACTTTTGAGTTTTTCTTTGTTTTTCTTTGTTTCCTCGAGGCACCTCAAAATTTATCTATATCCTTTGCTGTTGGGGTCACTTCTGAGAATTCTTGACTCCATCTCCCTCTGACTCTCTCGGCACCTCTATCCTGCTCTCACCCTCTCTTCTCAACCACCATCCACACCCCTCGCGCTCACGTGAGAGACTACCAATCGCAGCACCGAAACGGGGAACAAGGGAAGCGGAAGGTGAGTGACCAATTCTCCCTGCTCCTCCTGTTGTCACAGCGTCTTCGCCACCAGCGTCTTCGCCACCAGCCACTTCGCCACCAGCCACTTCGCCACCAGCCACTTCGCCACCAGCCACTTCGCCACCAGCCACTTCGCTCTGACTCTCTCGGTACCTCTGTCCTTCTCTCACTCTCGCTTACTAACCACCATCCACACCCCTCCCGCTCACCTGAGTGACTGCCATTTGCACTAACTCTACCTTCAACCCTCTCTTTCCTACCAACCACCACCAACATCCCTTCCTCTCACCTGAGGGACTGCCAGTCGCAGCACTGGCAGCTGCAACAAGGAACCTCTTACTGAGGGAGAGAGAGTGGGCCCATACTCCCTCCCTGTCCTTCCTCCATCTCCTCTCGCCTTCCACCCTCCCTCGTGCACTGACTCTCTCTCTTCCTCACATCACATCACAACCACCATCCACACCCCTTCCTCTCACCTGAGTGACTGCCAGTCGCAGCACTGGCAGGGCAGTTCAGTAGGCGATTATGGGGCAGGGCTGCGCAGGGGAAGGAGGCGGGGGAGGGGAAGGGGAAGGCGGAAGGGAAGTGCAGGGTGGGGAGAAAGGGGGAGTAAGGAGAGTAAGGGTAAGGATGGTATGGGGAGTCACGGCACCAGTAGATGCAGCAGGCGATTGTGGGCCAGGCTAGAAACCTTTAAGGGATGAAGAGGGGAAGGGGAAGGGAGAGTGGGAGGGGGGGCGAAGGAAGGAGGGAGGGGAAGGAAGAATGGTACGAGGCCAAGTGTGTTTCAATTCAGCTCTCACAGCTGCAGTAGCAGCAGCGGCACCTGGAGCAGGCGATTGTATGCCAAGGTTGAGGAATTGAGGGGAGACAGACAGGAAAGAAAAGCGGGAGGGTGGAAAGAAGGGGGAGTGAGTGAGGAAGGGGGGGAGGAAGGATGGTGCGGGGAGCTTTAGAACTGGCAGCTGCAGCAGGGGATTGTGGGCCAGGGCTGTGAAAGGGAGAAGGGGGAGGAGGAAGGGGAACGGGAGCGTAAAGGAAAAAGTTTAGGTTTTCGGGCTTAGGAATTGTCACACAGACCACTCACTCACGAACGTGCATGTGCCACGGGCAGTGGAAACTCCCATCAGACCACCCATCACTACTGTACTGCTGTTCCAGCCTTTCAATGCCTGACGTCCACCAGCAGTCGAGGAATGCCCTCGTGTGCCGCCATCCTCACCACCGACCGACCCAGGGCTGGGCTGCGATGCGATTGTCACATAAACCACTCACGAACCTGCATACATGTATCACGGGCATGGAAGAAGGAAATTTCTGAGACGTCTCAGGAATCTAATTCTTTTACTTGGAATGCCCACGTGAGCCGCCACCCTCACCACCGACCGACCCAGGGCTGGGCTGCAATTGTCACAGACCACTCACGAGCCTGCATGCATCACGTGCATGAAAGAAGGGGGAGGAGAACACAAAGGACTTATCAGAGTTCTCAAGAGTAACCAATTTGCTCACAAAGACCCAAACCAGTCACGAACACTTACAAACACTTACAAACACTTACGGACACTTACGGACACTTACAAACACCTACGAACACTTGCGAACACCTACGAACACGAGCATACATTTGACAGGAGTCAGGAAACGGAAGAAGGGACAAGTGATGTGACGGCAGAGCAGCGCATGACTGGCGGAGCACAGAACCGCACCACACAGAACCCCCCAGAACCGTAAGTGCACGGCTAAAAACCGTTGCAATCGTGACATATCCTGTGTGTTGGGCAACAGACAGACTGACCTGATAATGACGGCAAGACCAGCCCGTAGCGCACATAACCTCTTCCTCTTCTTACTAGCATGTCGGAACGCTACCTGGCGAATCTCTTCTAACTGTGCGGGGCAGTGTGTTGGGCTCAAACTGATCCATCTGATGATGACGGCATGCAGCGTACAACTGACCGCCTATAGAGTGGAAACCGCACAGAACCGCACAGAAAATCTCTCAACCATGAGTGTTGGGATCAAACAGATTGACTTGATAATCACAGCCGCATATGACTTGCGGAGCACACACAACCACACAGAACCACTCTCAACCTTGGGTCGTTGTGTTGGACTCACTGACCTGATTATTACAGCTGAATGTGACGGGCGGAGCACGAATGCAAGGAGCGGCGGAACCACGTGGGGCGGCCTGTGTGGGGGAGGGTGGGATTGCGAGAGGGAGAGATGGGGGGGGTTGGGGGGACGGGGGAAGGAAGGAAGGGGTGTGGACGGGGTATACGGATGGATTGCATTATGGGGGAGAATGAATGGCGAAGCACGGACGGAGGAAGAGGATGTACGGATGAATTTTTTATATTTTACAGCAGAGAATGACTGGCAAAGCACCAATGGGGGGGAGCGCACCATGTGGGCAGTTTTTGAAGCGTAAAAAAAAGCGATGCGAGGGAGGCAGAGAGGGGGGGGGGGGAAGTAAATCACCTCACTCAGCTGCATTCAAACAAACTTTATGAACACGCCCTAGCTGGATAGCCCTCCCTACAGCAAACCTACGTCACCCAAACGTACCACTCCGAACCTGCAGCCCCGAACCTACCACAGGTCCGGGTCTAGCTCCACGGTGAGCATGCCAGCTGTCACGTCCACGGACACGGGAACCAGGCCCCCAATCTGCCATGCTGCCACCTGTCAGTTCAAAACGCAAGCGCGGAATGGAGGGGAACGGAACGGAACAGGGTTTGCGGTTTCAAAGATGTATGAATACGTGAAAATGGGGAAATGAGGACACGACGATTGAGAATTTACTCACCGTATTTCACCCCTCCCAGGACAATCAAAATTCATTTCGGGGATAACGCATGGCTTCATATCAGGGATAGCCGTGGCTTGGCTGCTACGGTGCTACCTACCGAGGCTGAACGACCCAGTAAGCATCCCTCAGTGCATCTAAATCCTCGCAGGGCACTCACAAGACACGGAAACGAATCACGAATCGCACTACAATGGGGACACAGCTACACCTATTACGTACTTCCCGGTCGATCTGGAAGGGAGATGGATTCGCCGCGGGTCGCGGCGGGGCCAGCAGATTCGCCCTCACCGCCTCCTACTCCTTCCACGACGCCCATGGCACGTGGCGCAGCGCAAAAGACATTATTCTACCCTGTAATGAATGCGCTTGTAAAACATGACTTTTGAACAGGCTCTTGTTGTGTGACGATCTGCTGTAGGAATCGTGAACCGCGCTACTAATACCGGTTAGTGCAAGAACGCAGGTAATAAAATCGAATCTTCTGAGTCGACTAACAAGTAGTTTCGACTAAAAGGCAGGGATCCGGAAACATATGTTGGAACTATGTGCTCCTCGTCGCATTTCAGCTCTATCGCTCTATCCCTATATGTTTCATAAGGGCGGGTCCCACGCGTTCGTTTCGGCAAAAATGACATAATTTTTCGAAATCTGCACAGATTGAATAGCACATTTCTGATACATGCTGGAAACCGAATCTGGTCATTGGATTTGCGAGGGACACGTCTGTTAAGGGAGACAGCTGCTGGGGCCTCGCTAAATTTTGAAATCTGCACGAATTTGTTTCGTGTAGGGACTTGTCCGTATGTGTCCCCACAGTTTGGCGCATTTCTGTATGGGGAGACGTTTTAACCCTTGCT